TGGGTTCTAGCGCATGCCATGGCGTTGTGAGCTGCGCGTGCTTTTCGGACAGGCTCATTCCATGCCTTGCCCTACCTCGTCCTCCAGTATTCCTTATACGTCCTTCCTCGTTAACCCTCCAGACTCTCTCGGTTGTCCTCGCTTTTCGTTTCTCGTCTTGCTTGGGATTATGCGGGGGCTTCGAGCTGTTCAGGGCCGGCGTGGGAAAATATTCAATATGAAGTGGGCTGGCTTGAAATGTACGGGTCTCTTGTGGATCTTCCTGTTGGGGCTGCCTTGAAGGCCTTGGGGCCCGCTTGGGTCCCTCTTGGGCTCTTCTTCGAAGTTGTGGGGCCGTCTCGAGCCTCGGCGCCATGTGAAGCTCTCCCGAAGCCATCCGAAGGAGACGAGCGTGAGATTTACTGAACATGGAAAAACCTGAATGGCTTTTGCGTTTGTGGCTCTCTGGGGTCATTTGGGAGGGCCTTTGGGAGTTCCACTGGGGCATCTTGTGGCCCCTGGGGGCCGCCTTGAAACATCTTGAAGCGTCTTGGACCACTAAGGGGCCATCTTGGCGGCCAGCGGGCGTCGCTTGCTCTGAGTAGAGAGTGCCTGGGATGCAGCGGCCAGCGCTGTACATGAGCTGCTACCTTGGGCTGCAGCTCGCTGGATTCTGCTGCGTGAAAGGCGCTGCTACCCTGGGCTGCAGCGCAATGCAACTAAATACCCCGGCATTACCTATCCCACACGGCACTTGAACGAGAGATGGACATGCTTGGTTTGCGCATGAATTTCTGTCCTGAGTCCTGAATGGATGACCATCGAACCCAAATCCAAAATTCACAGATTCCTTGGGGCCTTCGAAAGCTCCGCGAAACCGTTAAGAAGCCGGGAGGCGCGGTACCCGCCAGATGTCAGGGGATGTGTAGGACCCCCGAGTAGGAGTCCCACTTTGATGAAAAAAATGAATTCTGGGAATTCCCTTTTTTCCAAAATCCTCAATCTTTGAGGATTGGAAGCGGGAAAACGTGGAAGGCGAAGAAAAACAATTGGGAAAAAGTACGGGGAATTAACGATTTTGCCATCTTTGGGCTCTCTCGGGACGGCTCTCGCAGCTCTTTCGGGCTGTTCTTGGAGCCTCGTCGGGGCCTCTCCGGGATCGGGGGTGTGTTGGGAGCCTCTGGGGGGTCCTGGGGGCCTCTCGGAGGTCTCTGGAAGCCTCCTGCTCCCGCTCTTGGGCCCATCTTGGGCCTGTTCTGGGGTGGTCTGGGGCTATGCTGGGCGCCTCTTCGGCAGTCTTAAAGCCTTCTTGCTTGGCCCGTCTCGGGGCCGTCCTGAGGGTCTCTTGGGTGGTCTTGTGGCGGTCTTGGGAGGCTCTTCGGCGCTCTTGGACACTGGAAGCTCGAAAACGCGAGAAGCCCAAAACATTGAAAAGAACAATGAACATCTACGATTTGGGCCTCTTCGGCCCGTCCCGTGACACCTATCAGACCTCTCTTGGGCTCTCTTGGAGGGCACCTGTGAGCCAAGAGAGCCGTCGGAAGGCTGACTTGGGCTGCTCAGGAGCGTCTTGGGCCATCCTTTCGCATTCTGGGGGTTCCTGGGGGGCGTCTTGGGCCTTCCTGGAGCGCTGTGGAGGCTCCCCGCAAAAGGCTGGGGGAGCGGTACTGGGAGCGTCCCCGAGATGTGGCGGGGAGGTGTGGGACCGGGGGGCGGTATTTATTCATATATATATTATATATATATATATATATATATATATATATATATATATACATATATACATATATACATATACATATACATACATACATACATACATATACATACATACATACATACCTACCTACCTACCTACCTACCTACCTACCTACCTACCTACATACATACATACATACATACATACATGCATACATGCATACATGCATACATGCATACATGCATACATGCATACATGCATACATGCATACATGCATACATACATACATACAGACAGACAGACAGACAGACAGACAGACAGACAGACAGACAGACATACAGAAAGACAGACAGACAGACAGACAGACAGACAGACAGACAGACATACATACAGACATTCATACATAAGAACCACGCGCTTTTCGCGTGCACTTAGGTTCTAGCGAGTCACAGACACAGGAAAAGCTGTGCGAAAAAATGTTTGGAGTTTCTCAGACAAGTGCGGACTCCAGTGGCAACACCTGCGTGAGGCACCGCCGGGGACGGACCTTGTGTAGAGTGTGGGAAGTCGGACCAGCTCTCTGGTCGACCCTCTTGGGCGCGCCCTGGGGCTCTCTTGGGCCGTTTTGAGGGGCCCATTGCGGGGCTGTTTCGGGGCCTCTTTGAATGTTTTTGCGGTTCTCTTGGGGGCCTGTTGGGGTTTCTTGGGCGCTTCTTAAACCTCTTGGGGTCTCCTGGGGGCCTCCTTGGCCAAAACGCTCGAAAATTCGGTTCCTCGTCCCCGTCTTGGGCGCCGACTCGGAGCGTTCTTGGGCGGTTTGGGCGCCTCGGGCGCCATCTTGGCCCCCTCGTGGGTCGTCTTGGAGCCCTCTTGGGGGCATCCTCGACTGGCTTGGGTGCCTCTTGGGCCGTCTTGGACGCAGTGGAAGCCCAAAAGGCGAACACGCCAAAAATATAAGTTCTCCCATAGGAAATCGACGATGTTTGCTTATTTGGGCTCTATTGGGGTGCCTCTTGGGGCGTCTTCGAGGCCTCTTTTGATGTGTGTTTTCGGGTGACATGGGGGCCTATTGGGGCTTCTGGGCCCCTTCTTGGAGCCTCTTGGGGTCTCCTGGGGTTCTCTTGGGCCAGAAGGCGCGAATTTCCGGTTCCTCGTCCCCGTCTTGGGCGCCGCCTTGGGGTGTTCTTGGGCGGTTTGGGCGCCTCGTGGGCCGTCTTGGCCCCCTCGTGGGTCGTCTTGGGGCCTTCTCGGGGGCATCCTCGACCGGCTTGGGTGCCTCTTGGGCCGTCTTGGACGCAGTGGAAGCCCAAAAGGCGAACACGCCAAAAATATAAGTTCTCCCACCGGAAATCGACGATGTTTGCTTATTGGGGCTCTCTCGGGGTGCCTCTTGGGGCGTCTTCGGGGCCTTCGGGGGCCTTCTTGGCGTCATGGGAGTCGTCTTGAAAGTCGTCTGGAGCCATCGCTACGGCCTCCCGGGGCCTCCCTGCAACCTCTTGGGGCCCTGTTGGCCCCAGGTCACAAGGAAAATTACGCCCTGGCCCCGTATTTGTGGTCGTCGCGCCGGCCCCCGGCCCCCGGGCCCTCGGAAACGAGCCCACGACGCGAAATCAATATCGAAGATGAGGCCGAGTGCTCCCAGAGACCTCCGGGGTCGAGTGCCCCTTCCTTTCCCTCCTCTTACGCCTCCTCCTTCTGTCCCTCCTCTCCTTCTGCATGTCCTCCTCGTCTCCCGCATATTCCGGCTCGCACCTCGAACGGGTCGTGCAGAACAGGGACTTCAACCGACGGCCCCCGGCAATGTTCGCATCCGATCCACCCGAGTCGGCACACCCCTGACACGGGTCTTGGCCCACAAGAAGATCCAACTACGGCCTTAGAGAGAAGGTTCGCATGGCATCTTGGATGCCTCTCTCGCCGGCGCATTAGAACCAAGTTATGAGCCTCCTGGGGGCCTCTTGGAGGCCTCCTGGGTGCGTCTTGGGGTGCTTTGGGGGGCCTCTTGGGGCCTCTGGGGGGCCTATCGGCGCCTCCTGGGGGCTCTTGGGACCGAAAGCTCGGAAATCGAAAGTGGCTGTCTTCTTCTCGGACCCCTCTCGGGCGCTTCTTGGGCTTCTCTTGGGCCGTCTTGGGGGCCGATTGGGCCGTCATGCGTTCCTCGTAGGCCGTCTTGGAGATTTCTTGGGGACCTCCTAGGCCGTTTTGGGGGGCCTCTTGGGCCGTCCTGGACGCGGCGACAGCCCAAGAGGCGAGCATGCGAAAAATATACGCTTTCCCATAGGAGTGGAAGGATTTTAGTTTCTTGGGGCTCTCTTGGGGTGCCTCTTGGAGCATCTTGGGGTGCTTTTGGGAGCCTGCTTGGGGCCTCTTGGGGGCGTATCGGCGCCTCCTGGGATCTCTTGGGGCCGAAGGCTCGGAATTCGAGAGTGGCTTTCTTGCTCTGGGACTCCTCTCGGGCGCGTCTTGGGGCTCTCTTGGGCCGTCTTGGGCGCCCATTGGGCCGTCTTGGGCTTCTGGTGGCCCGTCTTGGAGCTCTTTTGGGGGCCTCCTAGGCCGTCTTGGGAACCCCTTGGGCCGTCTTGGACGCGATGATAGCCCAACAGGAGAACATACGAAAAATATACGCTTTCCCACTGGAATGGGGCGATCCTTGCTTCTTGGAGCTCTCTTGGGGTGCCTCTTGGAGCGTCTTGGGGTGTTTTGGGGAGCCTTCCGGGCGCTTCTTGGGGGCTTCTCAGCGCCTCCTGGAGCCACTTGGGGCCGAAAGCTTGGAATGCGATGGTGGCTTTCCTCCTCTGGGGCCCTCCCGGGCCCGTTTTGGGGACTCTCTTGGGCCGTCTTGGGCCCTTCGTGGGCCGTCCCGGAGCTTTCTGGGGCTGTTTTGGGGCCCTCTGGGGCGCGTCCTGGGCCCTATTGGGGCGGTCTTGGGAGCTTCTGAGGTCGTCAAGCACGGACCGACAGCGAAAACAAGCAACATGTTAAAAGCATATGTTTTACGAAGGGAGTGGGGCTATGTTGGCCCTTTGGGGCTCTCTTTGGAGCCCTATTGGGGGTCGCTTGGGGTGTCTTGGGGGCTTCTGAAGCCGCCTTGGAGGCCATGTTGGGCGTCTGGGAGCGACCTTCGGGCGTCCCGGGTCTGTTCTAGAGCCTCTTGGGGCCTCCTCGGCGCCTTCTGGCGGCCTTCTGTGAGGCCCCGGGGCCCAAGGGCCCCGGAGCCCACATTTGTGGCAGCGGCGCCGGCCCCGGGCGCCCGGACCCGGTGCGCCGTCATATGTATACAGTCCTCGGGGAACGCCCACAAGTCGTGAATAGCCTGAAGCAAGACCCCCTCTGCTTGGCACCGCTGCCCCGTCTTTTGCGCCGCTGGTAACTCCGCAGAACTGTCGAGAGTCGAGTCCACCAACTACTGACTTTGCCCCGCAGGGCTGCTGCGCGTCGCGGGGTCGACTGCTGAACCGAACAAATCTGCAACTGCGGAGCGGTCCGTCGAGAGAGGGCGGGCGCTGGAAGCTGGCGGTGAACGTGCACTGCCTCTGCCACCGCTCGCACCCAACTACAGTTGAGCGCGCCGATGCACGGTGAAACTTGGGCCCCCGGCCGAAAAGCTACGGTCGACGCAACAGCAGCAGCAGGAGGGCACATCGAGTTCGGAGAGAACCCGATATTTCTGCTGGCGGCCAACCTCGTTTCGGTAGGGTCGCATTTTTCGGCTTCGGGGGCCGACCCTGAGCTCACCGACGACTGAAACTGAGACGGCTCCTCGCGGATTTCCGTCGCAGGGGTCTCGGGTGACGCCGCGGGGGCTGAGGTCGCAATGGCGCCCGTAGCTTCGACTGAGACATCGGGCACAAGTGAAGGCGCGGCGGGCGGCGCTGCAACTCCGAAGTTGGGCTCGTCAGCCTACGGGTCGCACTCGGAGGCGCCGCCCCAGTCGGAGTCGCGGGCCCCGTCGAAGGCGGCGCTGTCGCCTTCCTCTCCTTCCGGCGCCTCGCCCCCCCGACTTTCGCCGTCAACCTTCAAACAACTTTCCCCACGCCGCGAAACATGCGCGGCGTTGCGTCTTTTGGTTTTCAGCAGCGCCCTGCCTAGCGTGGCCTTCTTTTTAAGCCGAGAGACCCGGGGCAACCGAGGGGCCAACTGCAGGAGCCCCGCGGGAAGCTGCGCCCCAGACCCCGCGAGCTCGATGCTCGAGCCTGCGCGGGGCCTCCAGGGAACACCACTATGAGACCGAACACTGCGCACGCACGAGCGAGCCGCAGAGCAGACAACAAGATGGTCAAGATGCGAAGGGGCCCAATCCCCGCCCGGTGCACAAGTGAATTCGAGGCTACCCGTCAAAATCTGCCCCCCGGCATTCTCGATTAAACGTGTTTTCGCAAGAGCTGCTGGGGAAAGGTTCCAGTCAGCCGCGACGATCCATGGCAATTGGAGCACATCGAGCAGGCTGACTACTAATCTGCGAAAGCGATCGACGTTGTGATCTCGAATTCCTAAGGACTAGTGCCCGTTGAAAGTGACATATACTAGCGAAAAGCTTTTGGAGCGTAAAAGAACTGGGCGGAAACCGTCGAAGGCCGATCCCTTGTCGGTTTTCAGACCTGACGCTGATTGGCTGAACCTAAAACTTGCGCGGGGAGATGATTGCGCGCCAACAAGAACTCACCACCCTCACAGGCCTGCTCAGATTCCTGCGAACGGACCACTTCGCCTTGGGCGGCGCACTGTTGGCGAGAAGCTCGAGGGATGACTCCTTTCCACGCCTTTGCCCTTCACGCGGGTCTCGCAGAAAGACGCGCAATCGCACTGCTGCCGCTGCAAACGCTGAACGCGCCCCCAGGCCTTGTCGCCCACACAGCGAAGAGTTGCGAAAAAGAAGAGGGAGGAGCGACCGGCGCCATCAGAATTGCCTGGACTCCCAGCAGTCGAGGTGGCCGATGACGCCGCTGACCCAATACCCGAAGCACCGGCCGTAGACCTAGTGGAGACGCGAGAGCGAGGGGAGAAGGAAGTGGACCCAGTAGCCGTCGCACTGGCGCCGACGACCTGCCGGCGCTCCTGCCCCGAGCCGACGGCCGCGAGCAGGGCGCCGCCGCTAGTCACTCGCGGCTGCCCTTGCCTGCGCTGCCCTTGCCCGCGGCAGCAGAGCTGCTGGCAGACTCGCTGGCCTGGGTGATCTGGGCGGCCTCGACATTGGCCTGCGCCTGGAACTTGGCGCTGGACAGACGAGCCGCCGCCTACTTGAGCTTCTCGTCGTTCTCCTGCTTCGCATCGCGGGGGGCCAGCGGGAGCTGCGGCTGGAGCTGCGACCTCTGCAGGCTTCTCGCCGCTGCCGTTGCCGTTGCCCTCGTCCGCAGCCTGGCCGTCGCCGCCCTTGCGCTTCCTCTTCCTCTCCTGGATGCTCGCCCGCGCGCTCTCGGCGCGGTCAGCGAACCTCTGCCAGTCTGAGCCATTATCCTGAAGTGTTGTCCGATACTGCTTCAACTCAGCCTTGAGAGCGCGGAGCTGGGCCTTCTCGGACCCCTCGCAGCCCCAGCTCTCAAACTCCTGAAAGAAAAAGCTCGCCATTGATCTCGATGCCGAAGACTGACGCTAGCTTGTCGGATGGCCTGGCCTCGCGGAAACCCTCCGCCTGGGCCACTGCCGCCGCGGCCCGCTTCTTGGTCACCCCCGCCTTGACCAGGTCGAGGGTTGCAGCTTGGCTCTTTTTCTTCGGCCAACGCCAGCTGCTTCCTGATCCGCACGACCTGTTGCACCAGTTGATCGCGGCAAGTGGCTGCTGCCCGCAGCGCATTCTCGGTTTCCTTGGCTAAGTCAAGCTCCAAGTCGACACGCGTCGCCTGCGCCTCCAGACGGGTCTTCTGGGCAGCAAGCACAGCACGTAGCTCAGCATCGCCCTCGCGCATGGCCTTCTCAAGGAAAAAGGATACCTCGGCCAGAGACTTATCCTTGCCCTTGAGTCGAGGTGTGTCTGGAGCGGCCTCTTCAACAAAGTGAACGTGGCGATCCTCGCGCTCTGCTGACTGTGAACAGGGGCAAAACAAGCGAACTTTTCGTGAGCACTTCGAACATTTGCAGCCCTGACTCTTCAACGTGTCGTTGTACTCGCATGTGGAGCAAAAGCTGCACTTGGACCATGTGCGCGGTATGATGTGAAAACGGATCCCAGCTTTCGAGCTCACCGAATGTATGTGGGGAACAAACACTGGGTGAGATCCCTCAAGCACCACGCGAAGATACCGGGACTGGGCCCCGCCAAACTGGTTCGGGCCCAAGTGGCTTGAGGAAGGGGGAGGAAGGGGGGGGGGAAGAGGAGCAGGGGGAGAGCTGACAACAGATGGTGCACAACCTCCTCAGGCAGCTGCGTCAGCCCCTCAGACCTTAAATCGCCCTACGCCCGCGATTTCATTCCAGGATGTTGATATTGCGGTGCTGCGCGCTCATCCTGGCCAGGTGGGTGTGGACGCATCTGAGCAAGCGGACCAGGAGGAGTTACGGCACGCGGCAAACAATTTGTTCAAATGGACGCAGCAGACTTGAAGGAAGGCGTTTCAGCCTTTGTAGAAGTACTCGGTTGGTCATGATGTCTTCTTTTGCTTGTCAATACGATGCCGAGATATGTCAATAATGTGGTGCAGCCTACCCAACGCAGAGATCAGACTGATATAGGCGGTGCGAGCATGCCGTGGCACTATGAAGAGGAGGGCACTGCGCCAACTTCGATTGCCACGGCGAGGATGCGGCCCAGCCCAGCCCCAGAGAAGGCTTTGACACCTGGTAGAACGAAACCCGCTGCGACACCGAGAGTGGGCCCAGAGGCTGCTCGAGAGGGAGGCGAGGGAACCCTGCCAGAGAATGGGCTGGAGGAGTCTGGGCGAACACCTTCTCAGCATCGAGCAGGGCGGCTCCGCCTGCGTCCAGGGCGGCGGCCCCAGGGACGGGGTCAAACTTGTCACATCTGCGGCCCGAGCTTGGATGCCCAGAGAGGGCTGAGACGACACGCAGGACGAAACCCACCGTGACCCCTCGACGTGCCATCAGAGCGAACAGAGAGGGAGGTGAGGGATCCCTGCAGTTCGACCCGGCTGGAAGCCCAAGGGCGAGCTCCTCGACAGCACCAGCTGCATGCACGGCAGGATCTACAAAGAGTGGATCAGACGTTAGGGGCATCCGTGGAATTGCCACGGGTGGTCATAGCACACATAGCCCAGCCCCATCCCCACTGGCGCCTCATCCCCCAGTGTCGAATGGTGTAGATCAAAGGCTCGTCGCCGACAAGGCAGAGCACACCAACATGGATGAAGCACAGGGTGAGGAACAGTTGTAGCTGAAGGGGCAGATCATGACCATCAACATCGACAACACTGGCATGCTCTTGAGATACTTGGAAGGTTGCAGATCGTCGGTGGCACTTGCCTAGGAGCACAAGGCGGATGGTGACCTGCTTCCTGCCGTTGAGTTCAAGATCAAGCAACTTGGATAGCATGGCATGTTTGGTCCAGCGGTGCGAGCAGCAAAGGAAGGATCATCATAGGATGTGGCTGTGTTGCACCCACTTACATCACGTACACACTGCCCCAGCGCTGGAGTCCGCAGTGCTTTGTGATGCGAGAATGGTGGCTGTCAGCGTAGCAGAGGGGGCGCCTGATGGGATCGTTGCCATGTCCGCACAGTCCTAAGATTCAAAAGGATTGGATGAGGATAACCAGGGCATGCTCTACTAATTGGTGTGCGTCTTATTAGGGGATTAAACGATATGGGGAAATGCTGGGTCGTTGGAGGAGACTCGAACATGGACTCGACCACGGTTGATGGGCAAGCATGGCTGGAACAGCTCAAAGGTATTTTCTCCATTACGATGCAGATCACATGTCGCACCACTAACTAGCTGATGGCAACACAGATGACTATTTTGACAGATCATCGAGGTTGGCGACGAAGGTATGTGCTCCGACAATTCATCAAGCATCTGGGGTACCCGTCCACACGCCCGTGCACATGCCGATCATTGACGGACATTGTGAGGTATGGCTCAGAATTACTGTCAAGCCGAAGGTAATGCCTAAGGGATCGCACGTTGGATGTTTGCGTACACCGATAGCTTGGCATTGCACGAAGGAGCTGGTGATGACAGAGAGTAGCGAGAAAGAACTTCGGCATACCTGGGACCTCGTGGTCTTGGGCATAGAGCAGGAGCCACTACGGAGAAGGGACCTCGTGAGGCTGACGGAAGCACCGCACGTCGGTCGAAGAGGACGCGTCAAGATAACGTACGTAGAGGCAAAGTTGGACACCAAGCACAGTGGGTTAGCAGATGGCTCAGTTGCCAGAGCTTGGATTGAAGCAGCCGGGTGGCCCAAGCATGTCATCAGATTAAACGTTTCGCATCCAGGTGATCAGTAAGTACCGGAAGGACAACATGATGACGGCGGGCAGGATCAGGCCCCCAGATTTCACCTCACCTTGGACTTCAGCGGCAATCGTCAAGCTGCTGAGGCTGAAGAGGGATGGGTCCATATAACGAAGAAAAGACGTAGCAGCCATGGACGGACGCGGAACGACATGAATGACAGACGACATGATGCCCGGCTTGCCAGATCAATCCGGCAGTCGCAGAGCTTCTACCGACGTATCTTGGCTGAGAGCGAGGTCCTAGTGTTGCCGGACGATCAGTCCAGATCCTTCTCAGGCCAGCATGAGCTCGCTCGCGCAACCTGCGTTTGAACAATTAGCCTTTGGAATTGCTGAGAGGGCTGGTAATTTTACCATGGAGAGAATCAGGTAAAGCGAGAAGCAGTGGAAGGAATGGATAGGGTCGATTGGTTTGAAAAAACGGTGGAAAAACGCACAGGGCCTCGCGAGTCATGGCCACGTCTGCCGGCATCTCCAATACTGCGCGCACGAAGCCATGCCAGATGACGGACGACGAGATGTGGAAATGGATGGAGGCATGAACGTGTCATGGCACCAACTGCATGCAGCTTCCAAGAAGAAGTACTGAATGGGAGGAGCTTCCATTCATTACGGTCGAGGATATCCGAACGGCATTGCAGACCTTTTCATGTAACACATAGGTCGGGCACACGCGCATGCATCCGCGCAATTCCTGCCACGTATCTGATGAGGGTTTGGAAGTATGGGCTATGATCCGCATGGTATGTGAGCGCATGTATATGTGGCCTGCGCGAAGGATAGTCAATGAGATAAGTTTAATCTAAACGAGACGGTGGAGCGTGTTTGATCACGCTGGTGGACAGCATGATAAGAGTATGGTCGCGCAGTCGTAGACCGATCTCTGGACAATGGGTTAGCACGCACAGCAGTCCACACAAATAAGATACTCACAGAGGGAAGGAGTATACTTCTTTTGGTCGATGAGTATATTTTGCAAGCTGAAAGTGCGCATCACTTAGATGAGCACACGCGTCAAGTCTTGGACATTGGGCATGTGGATATCCTTCGAGACGGTACTGTTCCCTGCCTTGATGGACGAGACGAAAGCAATCAGAGTGCCCGCTGCGACTGCTATGGATACTTCTTGGATCGCATGGGCAGCCCAAAATAGACAAGCATATGGATGTTGGAGCAGACCCACACGTGCGCAACAAGGTGTATTAGCCGGGTGCCCGCACACCACCACATTGCTTACGATAACTACGGAACTGGTCGCAGTAATTGCGCACATCAGGTATCAGGACGTCATTTATCGCGCGCTTAACGCCGCCAACCTGTATGGAGCGGCGCACATGCTTGCGCTGGATGCCTGGGAACTAAAGGTGATCATTCGCCAGCGCCAGGAAGGCGATCTCTGTATTCAAAAGCGACGCTGATCGACTTCGGCTCGCTGCGAAGAAATGGCTTCGAAATCTCGGACACGAAATGCCATTGGTTCTTCCAGTTCGCAAACAAGCCGTCGCTCGAATGTCGAAGCTTCGAGACCGATTGCCAAGATTACGTAACTGCTACCCCGTGGAGCGGGAACGAAGGTAGCCGCGTTGTGGCGTACTGGCCTGCTCCCGCCCGCCGGTCATGGAGCGGCTGTCGCTGGTGCGTCTCCCAGGGAGCTCGCCAGCTTGAGACAGATTGCTGGCATCCTATGCGGGCGATCATCAGGCAGTACCTCCCTCACCCTCTACCACGCCACTCGGAAGGACAGTATGTATGACCCAAAATACCCCAGGACCTACGCTAGCTCCGTTTGGGACCAGCGCGTCCAGTTGGGTAGGCTTCAGCGCGCCTGGCAGGCCCTCAAGTATACGGTGCAGGAGAAGATGTCTTGGGCTGGAGTCCGTTGGCCCACTATGGCTATAATTAGACCGTATTGGGATGGAACCTGCAATCTCGTACGTTGGTCGTGGGTGGCCAGTGCCTAGTCATAAGTCTTCTGCCAGTACCTCCGAAGTCGGTGTGCGCACGCCAAGGAGTTGAGAGGTGGCAGGCTAGGAGGATACAGGATCACCATCCAAATGTTTGTTATGGTAACGCAAGGATCTGGCTTCGGGTCCTGCGCAAGTGCTTGGGTGGAGCCACGGCGGTCGTCAAGCACCTACGTTTTGCGAGTGCGCTGCGTATGCTCCGGGCCGGAGGCATTGGGACTCGAGACCGCCAAATCCAGACAGGGCATAATACATATGATGCTTGTCCCTAGTGTGGCGCTGCTCGTGCCACGCAGGGACACGAATTTGTTGGCTGCGCTTGTTTCTACGACAGCACAAATGACGAGGACCTCCTATGCGACCCCAAACTGAATCACGTGCATGAGTATTTACGTGAAAGACGGTTCCAAGGGCTGGCTGCCTCAGACTGGGATAGGCTTGACGCTTGTATACGTGTGCCGTTCTGTCCTCAAGGTCCCCACGGTGCCCGGGTGAAGCTGTGGGGGGGAACTGAAGCCCGGCCAGAATCAAGTCGTCCTCCCCCGTGCATACTGATGGGTCTGGACCGGCCCCGTCATGGCCCGAATTAAGACGTTGTGGATGGGAGTTTTGCCAGCTAGGCGATAATGGTCTTCCACTCCGAGCTGCATGTGGACCCCTTGAAGGACCCATTCACACAGTAGGACGAGCGGAACGTGCAGCCTTGCCCGCAACGCCCATTTTACTCCCACGGGTACCGCTGGTGGTGCAGGGTTTGCCCTCACTCGTGGCTGAAGGTAAGGAGTGGCACGAAGTTCACCCCGACGCCCAGGCGCAGTATGCAGACGTGTGGAGGAACCTCTCTGCGTGCACGCATGGGCGGACACCGCCCGAATGCATTAGTGCCCTGATCGCGTTGAAGCGGAGGAGTTTGCGTCGAGCGCCCAACACCCCTGGGCGGACATTGTTTTCCCATACCATCCTGTGGTGTTGGGTCCTCGTTTTGAAGGGACAGCGCCTCTCCTCTCCGATCCGATCCGATCTGATCCTGCCTCCTCCTCCTCCTCTTCCTTCTCCTCCTCCTCCTCCTCCTCCTCCTCCTCCTCCTCTTCCTCCCTCCTCCCATCCCTGCCTCTGATTACCGCATGCCCACCATGTTGGCACATACTCTCATACGTTTCGTGGTCCCATAAGGGGGCCCCACCTAAGGCCCCAGTGGGAAAGTTCGCATGGCACCGCCACCCCAGTCTGGCACACCCCTGACACGTTTCGTGGCCCCATAAGGGGGCCCCACCTAAGGCCCCAGTGGGAAAGTTCCCATGGCACCGCCGCCCAGTTTCGACACACCCCTCACACGCTTCGTGGCCCCATAGGGAGCTCCACCGAAGGCCCCAGTGGGAAAATTCGCATAGCATCGCCGCCCAATGTCGGCACATCCCTCATACGCTTCGTGGCCCCATAGGGAGCTCCACTTGAGGCCTCAGTGGGAAAGTTCGCATGGCACCGCCGCCCCATTTCGGCACACCCCTCACACGCTTCGTGGCCCCATAGGGAGCTCCACCGAAGGCCCCAGTGGGAAAATTCGCATGGCACCGCCGCCCCATGTCGGCACACCCTCACACATTTCGTGGCCCCATAGGGAGGTCCACCTACGGCCCCAGTGGGAAAAGTCGCATGGCACCGCCGCCCCATTCTGGCACACCGCTCACACGTTTCGTGGTCCCATAGGGGGCTCCACCTAAAGCCACAGTGAGAGTCCGCATGGGACCGCCGCCCCATTTCAGCACACCCCTCACACGCTTCGTGGCCCCATAAAGAGCTCCACCCATGGCCCCAATTGGAAAGTTCGCATGGCACCGCTGCCCAGTGCCGGCACACCCGTCAAACGCTCCGTGGCCCCATAGGGAGCTCCACGGAAGGCATCAATGGCGACTTTCGCATGCGTCCGCCCGACTCGTGTCGGCACACCCTTCTCACGTTTTGTGGCAGAAGGCTATACCGCGTGCGCTACTCGGAGTTTGCGCGCCCCCCTCCTTCGTCTCATCTCCCTCGCGGTACTCGAAGCTGCATGTGGTTAGGTCCTTCGTCAGGCTATCAAAAATGGAGGTGGCGATAACTCACGAGCTGGCGGATTCCTTGACCAAGTCCTATGGAGGGCGCTTGTCGGACGCTAAGTTGCAGGCGCGTTTCATTTCATGTATCGTCATGTACTGAACGACCGCCCCGCACGTGCCTATCGTGAGCCTGCCCCTCTCCCACCCCCCCGCCCCAGGCCTGTGGCCCTCACTGCACATAGTATGGCCAGCATGGGCCCTAGTATATGTCAGTGTAAATGTTGCCTGTCCCAGGCCAGGCCCTGCCAGCCTAGCTAAGCTGCTCTAAGGGCCTTGTCAGCCCACGGCCCAACAGAGGCTCAGGGCTCGGACAGGTGTGCAATTGCAAGGAGCCCCATCTTTGCGCTCGGCCGCCCCTCAGGTTGCACTCGAAGCTGCTAGTGTGTCGGCGCCTGAGTCGAATGTAGCTGGCGATGAGGCGAGTTTGGTCCGCGAAGGGGTGTCGATGCGAGCTGAAGCTATTGTCGAGCCCCATGGGCACGAAGTTTTGGTGACCTCCGCAGCCATGGTCTGTACCAGATGTGGCTCGTACCTGGCGGCCCAGGGTAGAGTGACCAACGATCGGCTCGAGGTCCAATGTGCTGGCCCATCTAGACACGGCCCCACCAGGTGCAACCGTAATCATAACATTGCTGCGATCATGGCGGGGCGGCATCCAAAGTCGGGCAAGCCCCTTGATTGTTGATGTTTATATAGTCTAGACGCTTCGTGTCTCACCACCCAGCTTGATCTTATTGGTTGAGCGGCCCATGAAATGACCCGTGCTCCCGTCCGTGGGTTGCACGGCTTGGTCAGCCTGGTGGGCCTCCTCCTGCTCCTCCTCATCCTCATCATCATCATCATCATCATCCTCATCATCATCATCACCACCACCACCACCACCACCATCATCATAATCATCATCATCATCCTCATCATCATCCTCATCCTCATCCTCATCATCATCCTCATCATGATCATGATAATCATCATCATCATCATCATCATCATCATCATCATCATCATCATAATCATCATCATCATCATCATCATCATCATCATCGTCATCATCATCATCATCATCATCATCATCATCATCATGCTCCTCCCCCACCTCCTCCTCCTCCTCTTCCTCCTTCTCTTCCTTCTCCTCATCCTCCTCCTCCACCTCCTCATCCGTACTCCTCCACCTCATCCATCCTCCTACTCCTCTGCTTCCTAATCCTCCTCACCCTGCTCATCCTCCCCACTCATCCTCCCCACTGCCCCCCTCCTCCTCCTTCTCCTCATCCTCCTCCACATCGATTTCACCTCTCTACACAGACCCCACCACCTCCCCCATAGGTCTGCAAGCGTCTTGCTGGCGCTGCCCTGAGGTGGTGATGGCGGCGGGTGCGGGGAAGATGATGGATAAAACATTATTGAAGGCTGGGGGGGACTTGACGAACTCATACCGCTACTCCACGGACCCTCATGGCCTGGGTTCTGATCAGGATGTCAAGGCGAATCCAGCCGTGGTGACAAGGGAAGGCTAGCAGTAGCGGTACACGTTCCTCCTCAGAAGTGCAGGCGGAAAAAATACACACCGGGCGGTGGCCCCAGGCGCAACGCTGTAGCCGCAGAGGATGCCGCGGGAGAGGGGGTCACCGCCTGGGTCCACTCCGAGGCCTCGGGGGCTGCGAGGGTGAAGCGGCCGAAGGCGCGGCGGCCCTGCGCAAGCGCGGGGGCGCCGCGCGCGTCAGGAGGTGCGCTGCGCGGGGGGCCTTTGTAGAGGCTGCCCCACTGCTCGAGCGCAACGTACTGCCTGAAAAGAAAGCTGTGAACGCTCTGAAGCGCCGATGGAGAATCACCGCTCCCGCGTGCACACGGCGGCGTGCCGGGTGAGGAGGACGTGGAGCGCGCCAAAGACAGCGCAACTGCTGGGGCTACGCTGCAAGCTGCCGCGACGGCAGACTCTTGCAGAGGGGCTCAACAACTATGTTGGTCACGCGGCCAGCTCTCCTGCTGGCAAACGTTCATGAGGGGACAAAGGCCCAAAAGAAACATGCCAAGGATGCACCAGAACGCAGCCACACAGTACTGCGAGTGATACATGCTCGCGAGCAGATGGCGTGGCAGCCAGGAGTAGTTCATGCGCGTTGAGTTGTTCACTGCAGGTCGAAGGAGGGCCTGCCCTGGCACTGATCTGAAATTACAACAATGCTCTTTCGAAGTATCTCCTGCCTTCGTGCCGGCACGGAGCGCGGCGCCCCGCGGCCCCAAGAGATAGACATATGCCATACAGAAGCAGCACGCTCACGAAATCTCGCAAACGAGCGCCAGGGGTGAAACGCTGCGCGTTGGGGGAGGCTCGGCTCGGACGAAAGGGGGGGATAGCAAAGGGGGGGTCAGCGGATCAGCTCACGCAGCTCCCCCCGGCGCCTCCCAGCGCCTCCCGGCGCCCATGCATCGAGGACAGGCGGCCGCCAGCGGGGCCGAAACCAGTTGCATGCAGCAGCTTTCGTAGCCCCCCTCCCCCTTTCCCCTGTCCCCCCTTTTCCCTATCCCCCCCCTTTTCCCTATCCCCCCCTCCCCTTTCCCTTCCCCCCCTTTCCCTATCCCCTTTCCCAGATTTCGTACCGCCCCCCCCCCCCTTTCCCCTGTCCCCCCTGTTCGTCCGACCCGAGAGGCCCAGGATCAGCCGGCACCGGATCGGGAAGCCGGATCGGACCGGAACGCGCGTCGGATCGGGCTGCATCGGCAGGGAGTCGAGGTCGAATCGAATCGGCCACGACAGGAGGCACAGCGAGGCCACGCACGCATCGGCCCATATCGGCCCACATCGGCTCGCATCGGATCGTCGAAATATCGGAACCGAATCGGATCGAGCCGGCCAGAACCGACATCGAATCGGATCGATCGTTTCGAAATGGACCCTGACCTCCACCCCTCCACTCGACGCCCCTAACAAGTAGTGGGAACGGGCTACACGGCGACGCCCATACGGCAGATTAGCGCCACGACGTCGTGGGCGGTGGCTGCCAACACGTCATGGATCCTTCAGTATTGAACGATCGCGGCTAGCGACAGGAAATCGATCAATGCTGGCCGAGTTCAGCCAGCCGGTGATGTTCGACCTCAAACGCCCGCGCTGGGATCGCCACCGCGCCAACGCGGCGCCAGCCTGCCGCCGTGACGTGACGACGCCCTGCCTCTAGAGACCCGAATCGTGCCGCGAGCCATTGCGCAGCCTCTCCGGGTGGTCATTCTCGCCCGCCCTCACCTCGAGCGTCACAGCCCTTTTCTTTCTCTTGGTGCAGGCGCTCATCTCCATGGCCTCCCGCTTCGGCTCCTGCCTGGGCTTGGCCCCGCATCCAAACTTCTCTGGCAGGCTTGGCCGCGACGTCGGCCCGCCCTCTGGAGTCGTCACCGCGGCTGCGGCGTCCGCTGAACCCGACGAGGCCGAAGGAGTGGAATTCGCCGCCGCTACCACTGCCGACATTGGGGGGGCACACGGGCGCGGAGTGCCACGCTTCGAACCGCGCGGAATCTCTCTGGTGCCGTGCGAGCTGGCCGCCTCCTTGGACGCCGCGAGCCGGCCACAGAAGGCCTGCATGCCCTCCTCTGGGGTCTGCCCCTGCGACGCGTTGCTGCGGCAGGCCTGCTCGAACCAGTCTGCGGCGTCGGCCCGGTCCCCGGCAGCCTCCGCCCCGGTGGGCGCATTTCCGTCCAGCGGCCCGGCGCTGCTGCGCCCAGCCTGCCTGACCGAAAACGCCGCGTGGGCGCGGGAAGAGAACGGCCTGTTCGCGTCCGCGAACGCAGCGGCGGCGCTGGCGGCACTGAGCCCTCGCCGCACGGAGCGCAGCGAGCGCAGCTCGGAGGAGCGCAGCGGGTCGCCTCTCGGGGGGAGGACCAGCGGCGGAAGCCTGGAGGGGGAAGACGCCAAGGTCTCCCGCCCGTGCACATCGGCCGCGGCGTCTGGCGGCGGCCGCGCCGCGCACGGCAGCCCCGCATCCATCTCGGCCCAGAGCTGCAGAACGTCAGACCTTCGGCGGCTCCATCTTCCGCAGCACTCGCCGCGCTCCTCGCCCGCGCCCTGGGCGGCAGTGCCCGGAGACCGCAGCGGGGCTGTCGGCAGGTCCCCGCTGCCTTCCTCCGTTGCGCCGCGAGCTCCAGAGAAGCGCGGAGGCATGGGTTCCGCGCCGGGCCTCGCCGCAGGAGGCGGCCTGAGCCTGAGGATTGCCCGACCCACCCCCCTAAAAAAAAGACGTCTCGCTTCTTCTCGTTTCGGTCTAGGCTATCCGCCACTATTGGGCTCGCTGGAGCAGCGCCGCCGAAGCCAATTCACCCGATAAGGGCAACCATTGCCACTGCCAGTGCCAGTGCCATCTGAGCTTGGAGGTATGGGTTCGCATATCACTTCAGCCTCCCCCCACTATGTGTGTTCCTCCTTTGCCCCCACCTTCCTGATTCGCCCTTCTGCTGCTGCTGCTGATGACGATGATCTCGTCACAAGAATCTCCGCCCGCACGTAGACTACCGCCAATGAAGAGCGGTTCGTATCGAGGCGCTCGCAAACCGAAGCAGCTCCAATCCGACGGACCCACGCGCGTTCAAGACCCATCACTGGTTGTCTAGCTTGTTGTAGCTAGTCACTACCAGAGGCTGTGGAGGGAAGAGCGTGTTCGCCTGTCGATCAGGTGTCCCATTGCATCCTCATGTGCCCGTGTGCGCTCTACTCTCCCACCACGTACTTTCACGTCCCGTGTTTCTATGTCGCTGCTGTTCTTCTCTGTTCGGTCACTGGATTTTGAGCGCCAGAAACTTGACTCAAAGAGTGCACCACAATCACAGGTCTACGCAAAAAGGAACACGTTCAGACCAAAGAGGAGGAGCCGAAAGCCACGAAGGCAAGCCAATGCCAGCGCAAGGAAACATGTTAACACACTATCCTGCTGCTAATGTTCTGCCACAACTAGCGCCACAGAGGACGCAAGCACGCGTTCCAGAGAACCCCAAACCCTCCGCGACCCCTGGGAAGCCTCCGAGAGGCTTCCTCACAGAGCCTCTGCGCCCCCGTTCCCCCTGCTCATCATCCTCATCATCAACACCATCACCGTCGTGATCATCATCATTTTCCTCATCGCCATCATCATCACCACCATCATCATCGTCATCAGCATCATCAGTATCATCATCGTCATCACCAGCATCATCGTAGTCATCATGCTCGTCATCCTCATCATCCTCATCATCATCATCATCAGCATCATCATCATCATCATCATCATCATCATCACCATCATCATCATCATCATCATCATCATCATCATCAGCATCATCATCATCATCATCATCATCATCATCCAAGCCACCATCATCACAATCACCATCACTATTACCATCCTTTACTTATCCACCCCCATCCGTTTCTCCTCTTTCCCTCCTCATCTTCCTCCTCATCATCACTCCTTCCTTCCACTTCCTCCTACGCCATCAAAATCTAAGCCGTATCCTGAGGCACGTCCTCACCAAAATGCCGAGTCGAAGGAAGATTCGGCAACGAGGACGCCCCAGGACGCCGGCCAAAACCAATGACGAACCATAAAAACAAAGCGCCCAGGAGCTCCGATCCTCCTCGCCAACGGTTTCCCCAGACCCCCGGCGTCGTGCTTCTGCTCACGCCATAGGCCCCGGAGCTCCCGACCCCTCCCCCAAGAGGATAAGAAACTGCCCTAAGAGATCGAAGTGATCGAGGATCATCTACCTCTCGACGTGTTGGTTTTCCTGCGGTGCCTGAACGTCTGCTCTCAGTCTTCGCGGCGCCACTCTCAGTCTTCGCGGCTGCGCTCACGCAAGAAACACTGCCAGCCAACAGCAGCTCCACGAGCCGCCTGCCCGAGAATCGACGGCCGCGGCCGCCCTCCTTCGGAGCCCTGCTCTCCGCGCGAGCGCGCCACGAACGTGGCCTGGCGTGCTTCCGTGAACGGTGCTGCCTGGGGCGGACCCGGCCCAAAGTGATTGAAGGGCCCATGGACACACAAACCTGATCAGACAAGAACGGGAAGCGCCGCTTTAGTCTAATGGGCGTATTTGGCGAAGAAGAAAAGGAAGGCAAGGGCAACGAGGAATCGATGACGAGGACGACGTGGCGAACGTGAGGATAGCGAGGAGGAGCATGAGGACAACAAGGAGGAAGAGAAGCACAAGGACGAGGACGAAGAGAACGAGGGCGAGCACGAAGGGGGATGCGGAGGGCGACGACGACGACGACGACGACGACGACAGAGGACAGTAAGATGCAATTGTAGAAAGACATTGCTCCTGGCGCCGCGCGGGGTTGTCTTGGTGCCTGTTGAAGTCTTCTGGGGGGGCCCTTTGGGTCCTCTGATGGGCTTCTGGGGTCTTCTTGGGCTGTCTGGGCGCGTCGTGGGGTTCGGCGGGAGCTTTCTTAAGCCGACTCGGCGTCATGTCGGGCCGCCTTGCAGCTTTCTTGGGCCGTTTGGGGGCCTCCTGGGGCGTTCCCGGGAGTCTCTCGGGGCCTTTTTGGCCCTTTTCGGGCCGTCTTGGGATCTTTGCGAGCTGTCTGGGTGGCTCCTAGAGCGCTCTTGGGGGTCCCTCGGGGTCTTCTTGGGGCGCTCTCGGGCGCTTCTGGGGCTCTCCAGGGCGTCTTTCGGGTCTCCCTTGGGCCGTTGGAAAGCCTTCTAAGAGCGATTCGAACACGACGTCGATTCGGAGTCCCCTATTGGGCCGATGTTTGGAGGATATCTCGAACGCAACGGCAATTTTTCCAAAATCCGCCAGCGCGGTTCCAGAGTGCGCCCCGCACCCCGTCATTCATTCTTTCCACCAACAAACGGTCCACGCCAAGGGCGCTTTGAAGACGCAACCCCAATCTAAGAGGTCTCGCGAGCTCCCGCATAGCCAGCCACAGGACCGACTAGCGCGCGCGCGCGCGTTCGCAGACGTCACATACGAGGCTACCACCCACTGGTGGAAGGCCCGCACGACAGAACACGGCCCTCTGGCCGAGCGCTGGTGGCAGGCCGTGGATTCAAACGGTGCAACGCGCAGCGTGCAGGATCAGCATACTACAGCGCCACAAGAGCCGCCCTCACCAGCAGATGCAAAGTCGGCAGTGCTCGACGTGGGATACGGAGAGACGGCAGACAGTCAGATCGACCACCTGCCTGCGGCTGCAGGCCGAGCCAGACTCAAAGTCACCAAGCAGCGGGCCTAGGAATTGAGGCAGAGAAGACAAGCACAGGCGTTGGAGAAAAAACACAAAACTGAACAACAGGATGGTCGGTGCATCACTTGTCACGGCTGGGGCGTGGGATGTTGCGGGTCGCCGTAGCCCACGGAGTCAACTGTCCGCTCACGCGCACCTTGAGATCACTGAACTGTGAGCCGTAGTCCGCCGCGAACCAGCGCATGTTGACCGAATTGAAGC